TAACTCACCTCAAGACCATGACTGACAGCTGTGTCCCCTGAGTCGTGGAAGTCAAGGGTATTCTTGCTTCTGCTGGAGAGGTCGTATGTGGGCCCTCGCCCGCTTTCCGCAGATCCAAAAGGGTGAACCAGTTTGTATTTCTGGGTGGGGAAGGTGGAGGAATGGATCATACTTGCTCTGGGGACCTAGGGTGGAGACGAGGAAGTTGCCTGTTTGCTCATGGTTAATTAGGAGACTTGATTCAGTGCTAGGCCATGTATTTCCCCTGTTAGCATCTTTAGGATTGATTGGCGATGTCAAAAAACAACATCTGTCACCTGCTCTGACTCATCCAAGCTGAGCATGAATCTCAGAAGTCTCAGGTTTCTTCAGGAAGTTGAGTTCAGAAATCCTTCCTGAGATCAGGTTAAGGTGACTTTTCTCTGCTGTAAGCATTAATAATTGTCCACAAGAAAGCAAATAGGCTGTAATCGTACATTCATGCTAGGGTTGTGTTTTCTTGAATGAGTGAGCATTTGTTTAGGAAGTCAAGATATTTCACAACCATTTTTCCCCTTATTAAAACACTGAAAAGATCGGAGTGTAGAGTATTTGAAAATGCACTAATATGTTGAGGATTTCTCCTTCTGGGAGGAAACCAAGACTGAGAGAGAACGTGATTAAAGTTAAAAGATCATAAGGGATCTTGACATGACTAACACAGGTATAGGCTCCAAATTCTGAGCCTGCAAACTACAGAATACTCTTGACAGCTCATCCTCTGCTGGAAGAAGAGGTTCAGGGCTGGCAGTAAGTACAGGATGGAGGTTCGGTGAAGGTAGAGGTCCTAGCTGCACATATACTTACAGGTTCTTTGTGTGTGCTGAGACCTTTATTACATTGTCTCACTTCAGCTTCATAACAATTTTACAAAGGAGGCATTCTTTTTCTCCCCATTTTACAGATGGGGAAACTTGAAGCTTAGATGGGGTATGTGATTTTTCTAGAAATGGTGGAGCTGGGATTTATGGCCATTCACAGGGTGGTAGAGAAGGCTGTGGTGTTTGGAGTCTACTACCCCTTCTTTTTTTTTGAGATTACTTTTTTTTTTAGTACTGTGGGTTGAACCCAGTCCATTCACACCGATCCCTTTTTATTTTGCTAAGTTGCCCAGCTGGCCTCAAACTTTCTACCCTCCTGTCTCAGCCTCCCAGAGTGCTGGGATTACAGTACAGGTATGCACTACCATGCCCACCACTCCCCTGGCTATCAGTCCCTTTTAAAATTACTTATCCCAAATTTAGTAAATCCTATATGGCAGTTCATATGTTTCATTTTTCTTTACTAACTCTGAGTATGTCATTATCATAGAACCTTAAGACAGTGACCTTGAAAAAGATTGGCTGGACTGCAGCCCATCTTCTGAGAGAGAAAACATAAAGAAAGAAGTTTTCACTCATTTAGGGATAGTGAGAAGACATTTTTTTTCTAATCCTGGATAGCTTCGGGAAAGGCCGCCATGAAAGGGAAAGCTATTTTTAATAGACTGTTCCAGTGTATATTATGGCAGTCGGGAAGTTTATGTAAAATGTAAAACCTCACTGATAAAACTCCCCTATAGCCTGAGAGGAAATTAGAGAGTGACTAATTGTGATCTCATTTTAATATTCCATTACTCATCAGGCCACCCTGGAGGTTCATTCAGAAGCTGTGTATTGAATACCTGTTCTGTGCAAGACCTTATACTTAATAATACTAAAGTTGATCTTGGAAACTTTAAGAATTCCAGATAAACTCAGCTGCCCTAGATAGTTTAGAGTCATATTCTGACTGTTTGAATAATAGTACCGTATAGTTATAAAAATGCCTTTTTGTATATTAGCTTAGCTAATTTTCCAGACAAACACAACAGTGGTTACTATTGTACTCATTTTGCAGATAAGGCTTTTATTTATTACCCATCTCGTGTACTGAGAGTGTCAGCTTCCCTTATGATATGGCTTAGTTGATGAAAAACTCATGAAAATCTAATCAGTATCATGATTCCCACTTTGCTGATGAGTCATTGAGGCCCCAAGAGCGTAGGTGACTTTCTGGGCATACAGGAGCTGTAATTCAGCCTACGAACACCCTCTGGCACCTGTTCCCTTTAGAATATGCGGCCTTGCTTTCTGGAGGAGGAAAGGGAGATCCATGGTTAGCTAACCTGGCTGAGGCCATGCAGCTCATAAATAGCAGAGCTAAGGCTGCAGCTCACTTTCTCCTTGGGAAGACTGTAGGGCGTTTGCACTGTACATTGTAAAGGCTGCCACTTGAACAGGGGGACTAGAAGGCTGCCTTGCATCCAAGTTAGGCACCCTCATTCTTTCGTGATGTTTAACCTTTCATCATTCTAGTTCTTCTTTAGATTTCCTTGTATTTTTTTTTTTTTTTCCATTTTTAGGTAGGGAGCTCTATCCTCCTCCTGACATGCGCCCTTTGAGAATGGACATACAGCTTAAGTTGCTTGCTAGGATGTTACTGGGTGACGTTAGAACTCAAGCCCGGTCTAGTCCTGCATGCCTACCTCGTTGAGCTATGTGGTTCTTGTCCTTTACATCTGTAGAAACCGTCGCTTGACAGCAGGCCTTGTCTTTATGAAATCGCTTTCCTGTCCCATAAGGAATGGAACCTTTCCACGTGAAAGTCCTTTACTGTCTCTCTGCAGAAAGAACTGCATTCATGGCATAAGGCAATATCAGATCCACAACAAGGACCAGCTATTCACATCTGACACGTTGCCAGTCCCTATAATCTCAGCCCTGAGAATTGTAGAGCACAGAAGTTCATTACTTTTGACAATCCAATATCCTTTGGGTTTCTGGAGAAAAAGTGTATGTTAAATTTATAGCGCTATGCTTTTATTCAAATGGCAAGCGCCAGTGAATGTTCCTTGAAATGGATTTCAATGAAGCTTTCCTCCATATCACTTGCTGTTAGTAAACATCAGATAGATATCCAGCTGTATTTAATTTTTTCCAGCCAAGGAAGTACTGTATGTCCTATTTAGACAGTCTTCAAATAAATGGTTTCCAAATTAAACAAATAAACAAGAAATAGCTGAAATTCAACCCCTTGGACTATATAGAAAAAACTGAAAGGCTTTGAGAGAGGAGTGATCTCAGGGAAACCTCATGTCTTATTATATGCTCATTTGTATTTTTTGAGATAAACTCTACTTGATTGTTCAACTACATTGATAGGTTTTAAAAATTAGGCTTTTTATTTTTAAAGAGTGAGGGGTGCTGGGATAACGATAAGCTTATTCTAAATGTAGTTACTTTAGTTCAGATATATTTAACCCTAACTCTGGGTTACCATGGGGTTGTTTTTAAAAAGATAAAAGTTAATACTTGCCGTGTACTCTTTTTTTTTTTTTTTTGGTACTGGGAATTGAACTCATGACCTCACACTTGCCAGGCAGGCACTGTGCCTCTGAGCTATATCCCAGGCCCTTGCTGTGTACTTCTTATGATATTTTTCTGGTAATAATTTTCTCATCCCTGTGACTCAGGTATTATAACCACCATCCCTTATAGATGAGGAAAGTGAGGCTGAATATGGCTGAGTGACTAAGCCAAAAATCACAAAGAAAGCTAGGTGTGGTGGTGCATGCCTGTAATCCTAGCACTTGGAAGGCTGAGGCAGGAGGATTGCCATGAGTTCAAGGCCAGCCTGGACTACACAGCAAGACTTTGTCTCAAAAAAAAAAAAGCTGACCTTCCCGAAAGATCACACAAAAAATAGAAGTCTCAGCATGATTTCTTACCCTAATTCTGAATATCACAAGGGCCACAGATATTCTGGTATACCAAGCAGTCCTATTAACAGACTGGTCTATTAGACTTTTTAAAATTAACATTAAAAAGTGTAAAAATTAATGTAAGAAACATGTGTCCAGAGGAGATTTGCTTATAAATCTGGTTATAGGCCTCAAGAACAAAACAGCTTGCAATAGTGCATACTTTTTTGTGTTGGAAACATACAGCAAATTACCCTCTTTTGTATACTGAAGGCTTTTTAATAAATCTACTTGTCCTTGAGTTTCTACCTCTGAGAAACTGCATGGAGATGCATCAAAGACATGATTAATTCTCAGCAATTAACCCTCACAGTTTTATGCTTGTTATTATTACTATCATTATTATTATTATTATAGGGACTATAGATAACATTAGGCTGCCTTCCAGCTTTGTGGCATTTTAAAAACAAATTCCAATAGCATTGAAAACATTTCCCCATTCTCCTGTTTTGGGTCATTTTCTTAATATCAGAAACTAATATGCTCAGCGTTGGAACTGTGCAAGATTTTTACATTTTTAGTGGTAGTCAGCTTTGAAGTTAACTTTTGTCTTTTTCTTGAAGCTAATTTCCTGTCTTAACTTTAGCAGAACTGTGCAGCCCGTTCCCTTGTGTCTATTCATGTTCTGTGCCCCATCCATTCTCACCCAGACCACCCCCAGCCCTCATAGTAGGAAAAATAAGGTAGCCTGTGCTGAAACCATGGAATTGTGCACCGTAATACCAAAATGCAAGTCTGAAAAATGGATACGCAACAGTAAAAATTACAGTTTATGTGTGGTTTAAATTCCACAAGTTAAATTTTTAAAAACTAATTTCTAACTTTAAAAAATTAGGAAAACATGTTCAGTGGAGGGATTTTAGAGCATACACAAAATAAATAGTTCCACTTTGCAAAAATAACCAAAGCACATTGTTCTCTAAATGACCATTAAACTTTCCAAATAGAAATATTTGTGTCTAAGCGAGACAAATTGTCCTTCTGCGTGATCTGTTTTGTTGTTTCTTGGTAACTCAAAGTCTAGAAAACCTTTTGAGGGCATGAACGGGTGAGGTGATAGGACGTAGTCATTTCTTACATGTTCCCACTTTTTCTGCTTTACCCTTCTTAATTTGGGGATTGCATGTTGCCAAGGCGGCAGTGGCTGGTATGCTAAAGATGTTTCTCTTCTCTTTCCCAGACCCCAGGCAGGCACAGTCGTCCCCACCGTGGTCCTACGACCAGTCTTACCCTTCGTACCTGAGCCAGATGACGCCCCCGTCCATTCACTCCACCACCCCGTTGTCTTCCACGCGGGGCACTGGGCTTCCTGCCATCACCGACGTGCCCAGGCGAATTTCAGGTAAAGACCAAGCTTGAACTAGAAACACACCCCTATGCAGGGGCTGGGAGAGTGAGATGGGCCAAGCCTGTCTCATCGATGCCCTCAGTGTCACTGTTAGGAGCTTGTGGGGCAAGGGCACGAAAATAGACACCTGGGTCTTCTGAATTACGGGGTCATCAAACCCTGGGACATTGTAAATTAAGAGACTGGAAACCCAGTAGAGATGGCACTCGTCTCTTAAGATGATAATGAATAGTACCCAGCCAGTGTCCTGACAGATTGTATCCCCGAGGTGGGGGTCTTCTACTGAGGGTCCGTGCCAGGCTTTCCTCTGCTTGTTCCTTTCTGCTCCTAACATCTACCTGTGAACCCTACTGCAGAGGGCTGGCACAATCCTCCACTCCTAGAGGCTTATAAACCCCAGGAGGCAAAACCAGCCAGTCCTAAGAGGGTGCACCTGCGGACTTGGGACTCTGCTAGCGCAGAGGCCTGGAGGAGTATGGAAAGGTGATATGCAGCCAACTGAGACGCGAGGCAGCCTTTCCATCAAGCACACTGCTGCCCTTGTAGTGCGGCAGCCTCAGTACCCACAGATCCACCCTCTCCAAGGCTGTCCCCATATCTGTGGCTCCCGGGGAAGAACTACTTATACTCAGTGACCTGGCTGATCTCTTCTCTGTCCTGGTGAATTCATCAGACAGCCAGAGAGTGTCTGTGAAGACTTCAGACAGACAGGCAGGCAGACAGACAGATGGACAGATGGACAGACGGGAAAGTTAAAAGCCCTCAGCCAAGCACATGTGTCCCAGAGATAAGGAGTGCAGTCTGCCCATTCACTGTGACATAGTACAAACCCCAACACTGTCTTCCATGAAAATAGCCTCAGCCCCTAAAGGCATAGGCCCACCGCAATCCGGGTGCCAGGTCCACTTCTCCTAGCTCGGGCCCCTCAAGCCTGTGTGACTCCTGGCCAGGTTAATGCCTCTCTTTCTCTCTTTCTTTCTCTTTGTGTTTCTGTCTGTCTCTCTCCCTCTCTCGTTCTCCACCAAGCTCGAAGCCGCTGCTCTCTCCGCTGAGTTGCAACCACTGATGAAGCCTGGGCAGCAGGCTTGAGGGCTCTGATTAGCTCAGACTCCTTTCTTTCTTTCAACTTGGGAGGAGGGAAAACTTTGTTTCTCGAGCACAGAGCAGGCGAGGGCTCTGTGGTCCTAGTGCCTTCGCACTGTCTGCGGCAGATGGACGCCCACAGGGGTGAGTAGGGAAGGAAGAGGGGTGGAGGGCTACCGCAAGGCTCTCGGGGAACCGTGTTACTTTGCGTTGATGAGTGCTTTATTACTTTTGTGAACTGCATGCTACTCACTGGGGAATGGTGCAGAGTGTAGGATTCTAGTTAGCGCCTTTCTTGCCTGGTGTCCCCATCCCCTCGAGGCAGGTGTCAGACACAGGAAGGAAGGGAGGAGAAAGACAGAGGAGTAAGGTGCCTGGCGTGGGGTCGGAGGCCCAGTGCTCCATGATGTTGGGTTAGTGCTGGTCTCTCCTTCCCTGTTTCATACCATGAGTCTGTTTTATTTTATAAAGGCCCACAGTGACACTTTGACAGAGGAGATTTGTGCAAATGTGCTTGTGCTTAGGGCTCCTCTGAGCTTCCATCTGCCAACCCTCTGTGGCTGAAGCAGACTTTACAGTTTTTTTCTCTAATAGAACCTAGAAGAGGAAAAGAAGCCCAACCCAACCCAAGGAGCAATTGTAGCTTTAGAGACACTTATCTATAGCACTTTTCTTTCGGAGGGGAATTTATATTGGGGAAAACCATTAAAAATAACATTGGGAAGGTGCCGCCTAAATGAATAGTGATTAGGTATCATTTACATGGCTAAGGAAGAACAGCCAGATTATTCTGAGTCCACTTACTGGGAATTATTTAAAACATTTCCACGAGGGCTGGGGATTTAGCTCAGCGGCAAAAGCGCCTCCCTGGCAAGCGCAAGGTCGTGAGTTCGGTTCCTGGTACCGGAGAAAACCCCCCCAAAAAAAAAAAAAAAAAAAAATAAAACATTTCCACGAAACGATACCATAGCTCTTCCTGTTCCACATAGTAGAGGTAGGAGCAAAAACGGGTTAACTTTCCAGCCATATGATCTTCGTCCAAAGGTAGGAAAGTGTCCCTGCTTTAAACTGGTTTAAAACTGAGTCTGGTCCAGTTTTCACCTCCTCGCCCAGCATCTCCGTGAGCTGTTGCTGGTAATGAAGCGACATGGGGCCAAGGTGGGAGGTTCTGTATAAACACAAAGAGAACAGAAAATCCCTCCTGTCAGCACGGAGAGAAACAGGAAGAAATGGTGAGGCAGGGACTGTCAGGGAGCTTTGTTGTACCTGACCTTGCTCTTGGCCATGGGCTGTGCCTGATGGACATGGGGACGGTGACATTGGGAGTAGGACCTGTGGCATAAGTTCTAGATACCACAGTGCACAGGTTCTATCATGTGATCCGTGACTTAGAGTTCCCTGCATGTGAGACATAATAGAGAGAGCTTTTATCCTTCTTAGACATTTTAATAAATAAAACCCTTTGGATTAAGTCCATTCCTACACCTCTAGTTTTCAGCATGACTGGTGCCCAAATCAGGCTGTTTCCCTGAAACATGACAGTGAAAATATAACTTTCACCCCCATCCCCTTGTAGGCTTTGTGAGTAGAAATCCATTTCTATCTCCCTTTCAAAGAGGATATTACCAAATATTCTCATGCTATTTGGGGCAAGGAAGAATAAGATTATTCCTTCATATAGTAGATTTGGAAACCCAGACCCCAGTTTGAATTCAGCTCATACATATATCAGGGAAGCTTCTTACTTGTCTGAAACTTAGTTTTATTATTTGTAAGTAGGGATGTGATATTTATCTCTTAGGGTTACTCTGAGTGTAAAGAGTTCTCAGAACGGACTTTTGACGCATAATATGTGCCAAATAAATTGCAGCTGATATTATGAAGTTAACATTATTTGAAAAATTGTACATCCGTATATAATGTGCAGGCAAGCCTTGGGTTAAATGGGTCAAATAAATAAAAGACTGAACTTTTACAGGGGATTATTTGCTTTACAAAATGAATCAGTAGAGGACATATTGAAAATAAAAATGCCTTGGAATATTTAAATATTTAAATGAGTTAATACTCCTATGGCATTCAGAAAAGCACTTGCCACAGTACCTAACACATAGAGGTACTCACACATTATAGTATCTGTTATTCTATGGCTCCCTATTAATCTATATGTTATTATATAGTTTTAAGATGACTATTTATAGAGCTGAAAGCAATAAGGAGCCATTCATAAACTCAATAAAGGATTAAGGAGAAGTAATTGTTCAATTATGTCACAAAACAGACAGTGCTGGGTTATAGTTACATTAACCAAGCATGATAATGTTTGGTTCCAAAGGATCCTAGGAATAAATGCAACCAGAGAGAACCTTTAAAAAAAATCTGTTTCTAAAGAAATTCCATTTCATCCTAAAAGACCTTTCTGAAGAAAGACCATGCGTGATTTAATCTACTTGAAGACCTTCAGAAAGACCCAATTTTACCCCTTCTTTTGTTGGTAGTAACCTTCTGAGTAATTTTTCAAATGTGACAATGGTTCTAGAATTTAATGAATTGTAATAGTGACAGTGGTATTAGCTTCCTTTTGCGGAGCAAGGTACAAACAAAATAAAATGATGAAGGATGTTACCTATAATCCCTACTTTACTGTAGAGGAAGATGAAATACTAGCTGTCCTAAAGTTCAGGGGCATAATAGAAAGGTCGAGGAAACATTTCCTTAGCCTTAGATCACCTTACTTGTTATAACAAGAACAATAGCTGTGATAAGTTTATAACTGAGCAATATATAATTGCCCTGTGATTGACAAATAAGGTTTACTTCATGGCAGTGAGTTTGGATTACACTTAGTTAGCTGATAAAAATCAGGTACGGTAGGACTTATTAGAAACCAGTGTTGTGATGTTATGGTGCAGAACAAGATCATTAGTGGTTGGTTCGTCTCTTTCACCAAACTTACTATGGGAAGCAAGGCTTTATCGTATAATCTGTATTTAAGTAATGTAATTTTATACATTATCTCTCTTTATCTTATACAGTCCTAAAAGAATCTTCACTGTGAGAGTAATCAAAACTATTTCTCAATGACTTTGTTTTGTGGTTTTTGGTTTTTTTTTGGCATTGAGGAATGAACTCAGGGCCTTTGAACGGAGCAGCATCCTTAGTCCTGTTTGAATTTTTTAAAAAAAATTTGAGACAGAGTTTTATTGCTCTGATTAAGTTGCCCAGCCTGGGCTTGAACTTGTGATCCTCCTGTCTCAGTCTCCCAGTGGTGGGATTGCAGGTATGTGCCACCACGCCTGGCTTTTCAGTGATTCTGCCAAAGAGCAAGGCGTGGCAAAGCTGGGATCAGCTGGCTCTATACAACCGAAACCATTGCTTGTCCTTATAATTGTAATAACATCACCCATGGCATTTTTGATGTTTAAAACACTTGTGAGGTTTGACACAAAGATTATAATTACTTTTCTGGAGGTCATTACAAAATGCTATGTAAATAATTGCTGACCTTCAAAGTGTATTTTATGTAATAAGCCTACCGTGGAAAGAATCCATAATAATCCTACCATGTTTATTAAGTCTGATTCCTGACTTGTGGGTCACGTGTGAGCTCATGTTACCTTCCTAAAGGAGGATCTACATGGTTTTTTTTTCTACTGCAGATAACCCCACCTATCCCACCCATCTGAGTAAAGCGGCATTGATTAACTTAAGTCTGTACCACTCTTGGGCATACATGAAGCGGAAGGAATTTACACGAGCACTTTTCTGTGACCTTGGTCACTGTCGGCCCTCTCATCTCTCTGGAAGTCTCATAGAGACTTCAGACACTCTCATTAGAGACTCCGGGAGGGGTCAGAGATATTGGCTGCCTCAGTTTCCCTGGGAGAAGCTATTGCAAGTTGTAGGGTGGA